GTGATTAGGAACTTCTGTTCTAAATGAAATACTTGCTCTTATCAACATTTGACATGCCTATAGGCACGTCTCGATTGTCACAGAGTAGCAGATTTAAGTGGAATATTCGAGTGATAGTATGAGAAATGCTTCGAAAACACCCGGGGATGCCACATATCCCCATTATCAGTGACGGGTGTGGTTTTGTTCAGTGAATCTTCAAAGTGAGACTATGTTTATTTAGGTATTATCCTAAAAATTTCCTCTAAAGATGTGACAGCATACAGTAAGACTTTGCAGTCGTTAAAATTGATCCCTGTATCTAGAAAACGGAAAGAAGAAGTTTTTAGTGTAGACTATCAGTGATATTGTCTTTCCCTTGATAGCAGTTACGCAGCTTAACTTTTATGTGACAGAAACCTTGTGTTTCTAATAAACTTGTGTCTTGTTGAAGATATGTGTCCACCACACCCAGTCCCCCTTCAGTAGTGCTTTTACTCATTAAATTTTTCGGGGTTGTTTGTGATTACCTTGTTAAATGAAGGTAATAACTTACTAACAAAACAAATTATCGTTTTTAAAAATAACTTGTGCTTGAAACTCACTAAAGTAGTAGTAAACCATCGATTGAATAGTCGACCGGTTCCCATCCGGATCGACGTCTGTGTTCGTTAGTTCAATCTCCACTGAGTTATTTGGCTTCATACATAATATCTACCAACAACCCGGTTGCCTGCTACAGCAAACACTTGTTTATTAGTCAAAACAGTTATAACACACTTTTCTAGTTACAAGCCCAATAAGTTTAAAAATGGGTTGTTTCTTAATCTCAAAGTTCTAGTGTATTTATGAGAAAATGCAAAATTAACATACAAAAACATACGTGAGAGGGAATCAATAACCTCATTATTTGTGTGGCTTACAAAAATTTACTGACAGTGTAGATGGTAATAGAAAGGAATGGTTTTGGAAGATACGGCTCGGAAACTAAATGTAGATCAGCAAAACAAAAAAAGTTGTAATATAATTCATAAACTTATGATCTAAGGGAATATAGACAGTAAATTTACCCAGTTTCTAACTACTAATTACTATATTCACACGAACCTTAACTAGATGATCTGCACCTGCTTACATAACACAGTTCAGCAGTTATTGTCTTCACGTATTGATGCCATGTCATGATTCGGTCTCTCCTTGCTTTGTCCCAAGCTACTCCAATAACCATGAACGTCGTGATTCTTAAAGAGAAACATCACCCAAGATGCGATATTTTGTTTGAAACTTGGATAGTTTGTTTAACACAATACGATAGACTTAACTATAGGTGTCATACGCTTGTTCATATTTTCAGGTCTTTTGTGGGATAAATCCAACCAAAACAGATTTTTTCGCTGCTCCTTAATTATGCCCATATGAATAGTGTTTCAAGGGAAAGCGTACACCATACTAATAAGAAATAATTCGAAGTTAGGGTTTCCATGATAATGAATAGTTTGACTCTGCGAATAAATAAATCTCAACCTCTACTAATAGACGAAAAAAGACGAAGTGAATGAAGACGCCGCGAACAAAAGGAACATTATTGTAGAAGAGTACAACATTCTCACTTTTCTCTCCGACTAAACTCCTTTTTCTTTACTACTTCCCTTTGGCACTTTGGGGTGACAATGGTATACATGCGACACTAGTGTCAGAAGAGCATTATCTGTTTACTGGATTAGGTCGACAACCGATTACTTTAGCTGTTCTTTATACGTACAACAACTCATATAAGAAGCGTTTTGTAATGTAGTATCCAGTTCTTCCATATCAATTCTCTTTCGTCTTTTTTAGGCTGTCTGAAGATTATAGATAAGTACTTCCGTTTTCCAAACAATATTTCCTGATGCCTTATAAATCAGTTGGTTTAAGAACTATTTCTTAGAAACAATTTACAATTACTTTTTAACTTGCCTACTAATGATCCAGAGTTCCCGTTAGTGGAATATATGTTGGGATCCGCTTTGTAGGTTAGTAGGGGTTCTTGAAACAAACGCACTGAAATGCAGAGTGATCGTACCAGGCTGGGATAGGCCTATGTATCACAGCACCGGGTTAGCTAATAATTACTTTATATATATCGTACATTGTTTAAAGTAGAAGCCTGTGAAGGTCCTATTTTCTTGTGCAAACACTAAAAGCCCTTATGCTGATGACGATTGTAAGAGCAATTTCAACTTCGCGTGCAGCTTGTTTTTGGTTTACATACAGTGAACTTTGTATGTACAAAGGAGGAAAAAGGAAAAGTCTCTCGAATATTAGTACTCTTTAAATAACATCTTCAAACCTAATCTTTCCGATTACTGCTTATACTCTTACCGCCTCTACCACTACGGGGTTTGAATCGACAACTGCATCTCTGTGCTAATGTGGTGTGGCAACTAGAACTGATGTATGTACGTAAAAAGTTCTACGTTGTTACTGACTGACTGAGCACTTACCATTGCTTTTATTGTTTATTTAATTTCAGAACATTCACAATGGTAATTTTTCGCTATTACAAACGCCTTAAGTACTCCAGTCTGAGCTCCGCGTCGCTGAAATATCTGAAGATACTGCAAATAACCTAAAAAAATTCAAATTTCGAAAATCCCAGAACACTGTTGCCCTCATATGTTGTCCCTTGTTTATTAAGTGTTAATCAATATCATGTTGTAGTGAAAATTGATAAAGAAGCTTTGACAATCGAACCAGAACAAATACTTGAAGTCAGTTTATTTTATATGCTCAAAGAATTTCCCAATTTAGGATATTACACTTAACAATCTCAAAGATTCTTTACCGTACCATCAACCAAGATATATTCTTTTAAGTTACCGTTATGAAAAGGAGGATGGTCGGGTAACATTTCCATACTGTCTATTATTTTCAACTCCAATGGGTATGTGATTGTATCGAATTGGGTATTTTAATTGATTATGGGTAGGAAACTAAATTGTTTTCTACAGAATCAGAAATGCGACTTGGGTCAAAGCATCATTCTAATTACTTCATTGCCTACTTTACTAACTAACTTTTCAAAGAATAACTAAGATGTGTCTACCTCTCGGTCCTGGGTCTGGATATGTAATCCAGCATTACACTGGGGTAAGGGGGAGCAGAGTTCATAACACATGTCCTGAATACTACATTCGTTCAGACTTAATCACTTTCACCTTGTACATCGTACCTGCAGAAATCTTGGTATAGTGTTCTTAGTCTTGTCGAGCTGCAATCGTGCCGACAGGATTCAAGAAGCACTTGTTTTACTACATCCACACATGGGATCCCTAGAAATATTTGCTTTAAATTTTTGTGGCTGTCTCTCATTATTATGGGCTTTAGAGATCAGTGATGCTGAAAGATGGGTCAGTTAAAAGGACCTGAAGATTATATATATATATAGTTTATCCATTTGGATAGATTATTGACTTAAGCCTACACTTTATTAAAAACTATTTATAGGTTCTGCTACAAACCTGAAGATGATGTATACCACAAGTCTTACAAATCTGATGCATAAAAGCGGAGTTACGAAGGTAAATATTGAGATTCAGCATACTATATCTAACCTCGTAGGTTTTTGAGCTCAGAGATCTGGAAGAACTTTCAGATGAATGGTTACAAGAAACCTGGATCGCACAACTTGAGTTAATAAATTGACCTTCACTGGTTGCTCAAATCCAATTTTGTTAATTTTTTAACATAAATTGAAATCCATGTTATATTTTATTCTTTTATCATGACGCGGAATATAGAAATAGATTGGAAGTGAAAGTATACGCTGTAACAGAAACCTATTTATTCGGTAAGAATATTTCAGTTAACAGGCTTCGTTAATTACTTCGCAAAACTTTTCTGCTCGATGCCAAAAACTCCTTATGACTATCCAGTGTACGAAATCGATCGTTAAGTAGTTATCATGCATGATGTGCTTACTCCTATACTTTCCCAAAGTCAGGTTTCATAAGTAGTAGTCCCAAATGCTCTCCATAATTTGTTACTTAGGATTTAAAATATCCAAAGAAGAGATTTAAAGTCTTTTCAATTAGTACATATGCGCCACACAGGTCTCATTTGATATGTGTGAGGGCTATGATACTGCCCGGGTGCCCAACCCGAAGCAGGTGGTTTTCTTAGGGGACCACACCCGGAGCCTTCGACCTGACGGTCTGATCCACAAGGCAGTGGAGCAACGTAAGGAGATGCATTCCCATGGTAGCCGGTGACCAACGGTTGGTTCATACGCCATTTTTTCTTCAGGATACTGGAGCCCATGTGTACCGTTGGTTTGGAATCAGGGTTTTCCAACTCCTCTAGATAGACTCATCGTGTCCACCAACCCGGTTAAAGCGCCGGACATTCGCTTTTCGTCCTCTCAGTTTCGTAAACAACACCCCCGCCACGAGAAGGCAGTGAGTAGGACTTCCCTGGCAGAGGCTATATACGCGTGGCCATGTGAGAGCATTTTGAGAGGTAGAGCGGACTCTACCCACTCTCGGCCGTACGAGGGCATTTGGGGGCCAGTTATACAAACACCTAAGTAAAATGAGCAGTTAATTGTGAACCCGCTAATAAAGAAAAATCCAGCGAGAAATAAATCCAACCTTAATACACCAAGAAACTCATACCAAAACCTACTGAATTTCATACAGCAACTAGGTAGTAACTCAGTTGTCAGGCAGAGGCATTTAAAGGCGGGAGATGAATTTCGAGTGGAAACATGACAACAAGCGGATTTGATCTTTTATCTGGATAGGGCTTATGGAAATCTCATTATGATTAATACGATTACATCTCTAAAGAAAAGTGACTAGACGTGTTTTCAGAAAGTGAGATGCACACTGCAATAATTCAAATACAAGTATCACCGCGCTTTATATTACATAAACACAGTTCACTCTAAAAACAAGCAGTAGATCGAATAGCGTCATTGAGCGATTACCAAATTAATGACGGAACAAATAAAAATCATATTTACAGGATTTCTAGTCAAATAGTTAATGCATTCCAGCTCTAGCTTTCTTCTTTCTTGATAAGTTTTTCAGTAAGCTTGGTGTGACTCGTTTAACATCTCCATACCTTCCGGAATACGAAGAGGAATACAATTGGTTTTTTCGAAAACTGTCACATCTTTGACGAGCTGTGTTTTCAATATTTGCGCTATCCAGCATTCGAACATGAATCCCATTCAACCTGTTTATTTTTTTCCATGACTTGTGATTTCGTGTTTCAAAATCAGATCCCTTGGATTTCAAGGTGTTAATTGTAAAGGAATCAATATTGTCAAAAAGTATTGTCTTTGATTTATTCTTGTCATGCTCTTCACTGCCATCATACCCTTCATCGGACTCTGAAACGAATAAGTGAATTTTATGAAGAGTGTAACTACCAGCATAAATAATACCATATACATCCTATTAACTGCGTGAGGCTTAGTAATAAAGCTGTATTATAGGTTGACCAGACTTCAGCTTTATTTGTTTCAAGTGGTATGAACTTAATAGAATTATCGTATTGTGGTCGACGTTTATTATAATCAGCTACAGGGTGTCCTATACAGACACTTAACGGTATTCTTAATGACCTTGGCCAAACTGATAAAGACAAGTGTGAGGCCAAAAGCTAAAACAAAAGAGGAACCAGATGCATATTAAAAGCCTTGGAAAACGTCAATCACGTTGTAGTATTGTATACCTCACTAGTACGGTCTTAGCGAAAATAGGTCGCTAATAGTAGGAACAGTTCGCTGGAGATATTGCCAGATCCGCTGGTGAGTTTGTATGCACGTCATGAGCATAAAATTATCAGAAAATTACAATTACTATCCGCGAATTTGGTTTTTGCTCTACAAGTCAGTCAGAAACAAAGTTAACTACTCATTACCACGAATTGAGTAAGCAAATATGAAAATAAACGTATCTATTGTGTGAGGATAAACATAGCCTTGATATATTGCACGTCACGGTAATAAGATGATTATAAATCGCTACATTAGGTGAATTGAAATCTAGGACGAATTGTTAAACCTTACAAAATACGTATTAGTGAGATTGTTTGTCTTAAGTATTGCCGTAAACACTGCGTCAAATGTACTATTCAGTCAGTCAGTAACAACGTAGAACTTCGTACGTACGTACATCAGTTCGAGTTGCCACACCACATTAGCACAGAGATGCAGTTGTCGATTCAAATCCCGTAGTGGTAGAGGTGGTAAGAGTATAAGCAGTAATCGGGAAAATTATTGTTTGGAGATGTTATTGAAAGAGTATAATACAGTGAAATAAATTTGGGAAGAGGAAAAAAGGGACATGAAGGATTCAGAAGATTAGAATTTGGGAGAACACAGAGAGTGGATGCACCTGGGCCATTGCAAACGATTTTGAGCCATGTCATTCAGGGTCTCTAACCATCGGCTGCTACCATCACGCGGTCCCCAACCAGGTAGTCTACACCTACCAACATGACTCAGTCCACTTATCAGTGACTTCATGGACTTGTGCCATGTTTTGGTCTGGTCGCTTCTAGCTTTCTCCCAACCTACTCCTACACCAGAAAACATCGCACGTCGAGGCAGTTGGTGGTTGAGCATTCGTAACACATGTCCTAGCCATCTCAACTGATGAAGTTTCACTACGTCATCAATCGATTTGCCATCCTTACCTAGTACCCGTTTCCTAACAACTGCATTACTTACTCGATGGCCGCAGGATATAAGAGCAATATTTCGAAGACACCTATGATCAAATACTAGTAACCTACGGATATCCTCTACTCTTACCGGCCACGTTTCACTGCCATAAAGTAGGACGTAACGAACTGCTGCGCAGTAAACCCGTCCTTTGGTTGATAGACGGATATCTCGCCTACGCCATAAATGACGCAAGTTGGCAAAAACTAGTCGAGCCTTCTTTATCCGTGCTGAGATTTCGTCACACACCAGACCACAAGGGCTGATGAGACTTCCAAGCTAAGTGAAGCGGTCGACACGCTCAACTACTTCACTCCCTATCATTAGTTCGGGTGTCGATGCAACCCAATCCTGAAGCAACATTTTGCATTTCGGTGGGGAGAATCTCATCCCGAACATGCTTGTATTGTTGCTTAGAGTGATCAGAAGACTCTGCATTTTGTCAGCGTCTTCATTAAATAGAACTATGTCATCGGCATATTCTATGTCAAAAAGTGAATCTTCCAGTAGAAGTTCAACCCCTGTAAATTTAGATGAGGAAAGTGTTAGCTCTGAAAGCACGTCAACGACAAAGTTAAACAAGAATGGAGAGAGTGGAAAGCCCTGACGAACACCACTTGAGGTAATCAATTCCGAACTAATTCTTTCTTCCTATACTATATCCTTATTGCAATCTTTCTCCTATATATTACCACCTTTGACCTAACCACTCCTATGAATCCAGTGTTCATCTTGCTGTGCTAATGAGGTATGGCAACCTGGGCCGATGCATACATGTGCCTGGTCCTACGTTGTAGCTGACTGACTGACTGACTGAATCAATTCCGATGACAGTTCGCCATAAGCTCTCACTCTACCAGTTGTGTTCGAGTAGAGAGCCTTATCGACTTAGAATATGCAGATGACATAGTCCTGTTTGGTGAAGACGCTGACAAAATGCAGAGTCTTCTGGTAGCACTGAGCAACAATGCCAGAATGTTTGGGATGCGCTTCTCTCCCTCTAAATGCAAGTTGTTGCTTCAGGACTGGTCTACGTCAACACCTGAACTAAGGATAGGGAGTGAAGTAGTCGAACGTGTTGACAACTTCACTTATCTTGGAAGTCTGATCAGCCCTAATGGGTTGGTGTCTGACGAAATCTCAGCACGGATTCGTAAAGCTCGTTTGGCTTTTGCCAACTTACGTCACCTATGGCGGAGGCGAGATATCCGTCTATCAATAAAAGGACGAGTATACTGCGCGGCTGTCCGTTCTGTTTTAATTTACGGCAGCGAAACATGGCCCTTAAGAGTAGAAGACACCCGTAAGCTACTAGTATTTGACCACAGATGCCTTAGAAATATTGCTGGCATCTGCTGGGATCACCGGGTAAGTAATAGTGAGGTTAGACGCAGGGTATTAGGGAATGATGGTAAATCAGTTGATGAGGTTATGAATCTTCATCGACTGAGATGGTTGGGCCACGTATTACGTATGCCTGAACACCGATTACCGCGACGTGCAATGCTAACCGGTGTAGGGGATGGTTGGAAGAAAGTTAGGGGCGGCCAAACCAAAACGTGGCATCAGTGCCTGAAGTCACTAACTTCTAGTCTGAGCCATGTTGGTAGATGCAGACTACTTGGTTGGGGTCCGCGTGACTTTCGTAACCAATGGTTGGAGACCCTTGGTGACATGGCTCAGAATCGATCACAATGGCGTCGGTGTATACACTCTCTGTCTTCTCTTAAACTAAGAGATTAAGATCACTTCACATCTTTCTTTCTACGAACTAATTCTTTCTTCCTATACTATATCCTTATTGCAATCTTTCTCCTATATATTACCACCTTTGACCTAACCACTCCTATGAATCCAGTGTTCATCTTGCTGTGCTAATGAGGTATGGCAACCTGGGCCGATGCATACATGTGCCTGGTCCTACGTTGTAGCTGACTGACTGACTGACTGAATCAATTCCGATGACAGTTCGCCATAAGCTCTCACTCTACCAGTTGTGTTCGAGTAGAGAGCCTTTATAAGGTTAATGTACTTCTTTGGTACTCCTTTCAGTGACAAACACTGCCATAGAACCTCACGATCAACAGAGTCGAATGCCGCCTTAAGGTCGAGAAATACTACCATTGTGGGGCGTCTGAATGTGTGTCTGTGTTCTAGAACCTGACGTAGTGTGAATATCTGATCTATACAACCACGTCCAGGTCGAAAACCAGCCTGGTTTTCTCTAGTCTGCTCTTCACGAGCTTTGTTAGGCGTCGAAGTATTATTGAAGCTAATATTTTAGACACTATATTAGTCAAACTGATTCCTCTGTGATTGTCACAAGAGGACTTTTGTCCTTTCTTATAGACTGGCACAATCAGTGATTGAGACCAGTCAGATGGGATTACGTCCAGTTCCCAAATTCTACCTAAGACCTCAGTTAATCTCACTGCTAATACTGGACCACCATCCTTAAAAATCTCAGGAGTAAACCTGTCAGGGCCTGCTGCTCTCCCTCGTTTCAGATTTTTCAACTTCGTAAAGAGACGGAGGACCTACATTAACTTGCCATTCAGGTTGACTGGAGATCGTGGGAAACCGAAGTGTGGCTGAAGGCCAGTTGAACTGATCCCTAAAGTGTTCTGCCCATCGATCCAATCTCCTGGATTGAGAATGAATAATATGTCCATCTTTCTCTGAGATTGTTTCGCTAACAGTCGGTTTCCTTAACGAGTCTGAACAATTGTCTGCTATTACCTATTGCCGCTGCCTTTTCCATCTCTCTTGCTTTCGCTACCCACCACTGTTCACGATCATTGCGTAGACTTCTTGTCAGCTTGCGCTTAAGCTGACTCCGCTCTTCATTATGTTCAGAGCCAGGTGGAATGAGTTTCCGAGCATCTATCAGTGCGATAGATGCTGCTGAGATCCAGTGTTGCTCCCTAACCTTCTGGTTTACCTTACTAGCAGATATCACTGCTGTTTCCACAGCTTTTCGGATATCATTCCATGCTGCATCGGGGTGGGCATCACATACATGGCTGCCTAACTGTTTTCCTAGTTGTTCCTGAAATATACTCTTAGCTTGACTATCATTAAGTAGGCCCTAAGAGGTTTCCTTGCAGCGTCTTTCCTACGTCCAGTAAGACGCAAGCAAATACGCGCTCGCACTAGAGCATGATCTGAATCTAAGCATGTGCTCCAGAATGAGCGACAGTCTTCTATCGAGCCCCTCCATCGGTGGCTGATAGCGATGTGATCTATTTGGGTCCAACGTTGGGACGAATTAGGGGGTCGCCATGTTAAAAGATGTTTTTCCTTATGCTTAAAGTTAGTATTTGCAAGGAACAGGCGGTTATCTGAGCATAGCTGCAACAGACGGTCGCCATTATCTGTTCTTTGAGCCACGACACCATAAGATCCACCTAGGTGTCTTTCCCTTTCGCTTAGTTTACCTACTTGAGCATTAAAGTCACCGGCCACTATTACTACATCCGAGCGCCTAGCTTTTCGGAGAAGGTCCGAAAGCTTTCTGTAAAACTCATCTTTTACATCATCTGAGCTGCAGTCAGTGGGAGAATAGGCAGAGACGACGAAGAGGCAACGACGAGTGTCCCTATCTTTCCGGATTCTTACTGTTCCGTTCAGTCGGACAGCGCACAAACGACTGTCTACTGGGATCCACTCTAAGAGAGCTAGTTCTGCCCTAGGACTCAATGCTATACCTACGCCGGCGAGGCCACGGGAAGCAGAATCAGGGCTTCCAGATACACGAAGTGTGGAGTCGGTTCTTTATTTTGGCATGGTGAGGTCAAATGAATGACGCTACTCGGATCCTGTATGCGCGTTTCGGAGACGCAGCACACATCGATGGCGCGAGATTCTAAAGTCTTAGCTAAGGAAGCCTGCTGTCCTATTTGGCACAGTGTTCGTACGTTAAAAGCTCCTACGTGTAGTTTAGAGCGTGGTTTCAGGAGACCAGGAATGGCGTTCCACGTACTCGAATCGTTTGCCCTAGCGGTGCGAGGTGATAAAGAGACGTGAGGAGGGTTAGTCATGGAGATAAGAGAGGTATTAGGAGGTGTAGGATTTGAATGTGACCAACTTGGTCTCGTGTGCTGTTACGGGTATGAGGGCTGATGTCACTTCCCGGCTGCCCACACCGTGGAAGGGTATTTCTTGAGGAACCTGAAAAGGAAATTGGATTAGTGTTGGTCTTGACGACCTGGGAGCGTGACCGCAGAGCCCAAGGGACAACTGCTTGAGGCCGGTCGCGCACGGCCTTTTTGTGGAAGGTTTTTGACGTGTTAGCTCCGTTCTTCAAAGGGCCTTACCGCCGGAGACGGAAATCCGTGAGGTAAGGTGAGGTGTGACATTTTTAGGGTCGACCTTTTCTAACCCCACCCCTCCTTGTGGGAAGGCAGCATCGCTGTCATGCTGGTTGTCCGAGGGAAACACCTTACTGCTGTCACACCCCTCTACAGTCAGCAGTACGACTTCGCCCTCAGACCTTGAGTTGCTGCTTTTAGTCTTACCGTTCTCCAATCGACCTGCCTGGCATGGTAGAACCTACAGGAACATATGTTCCAGCCAATATAGCTCGGTTGGGTCATCACGATAGGCAAGCCCGACCACCGCGTCAAGGTAGCAGCTTCGGTCGTGTAAATGTACTATTATGAAAATGCTATTGATATACTACATGATATCGTTGGCTAGAATACTAATCAGCTAAAAATACATAAATTAAGGCATGGTATAAACAATTATCACCCAGAGTTACACACCCAAGACATAAGACACGATTAGAAGTGGTTTCTTGTGATGACTCAATCTAACAGAGCTTTCAGGTACGTATTTTAGCACGCGGTTCCTCCTACTGGTTTCTGACATAGGAAGAGGTGAGTCTGAGGAAAACTGTATGACGCGACTCAAACATAATTGAAAAGTCCACATCTTAAAAATCAATCAGTGTACAGGGATAGTAACTTACCGTTGTCGTATAGTAGTTCATTCTCGTTGGGTGAACAGCTGGCTGATATGTCCAAGGATTGAGATTTATTTTGTATGGGAGGTTGATCACCACCGTCGTCACCAAATTGAAGATGATCTGATGTGTTAAAATATCCCGGACAGTTAAATTCTTCTTCTAGATAGTCGTTTTTCTTAATATAAGTATGTATATGATGGAAGTGACAACCTTACATTTGACTTTTCCTCATCCTTCAGCGGTATATACTAATTTTCAAAACACTAATACATAAAACGCATAAGACTTACTTGGATTTCTTGGGAAGCTACTTCACTAGACTGGCAGCTGTCCTAAAGTAAAATATAAAAAACCGCATTGAACATTACTGTTTGTTTGCGTACATTACGCTTAGCTTTGCGGAGTGCTTTGGTTTTTATGCGATTTTCAATAATTGTCTTATTAATTTTTCTCTGGTGAATTTCACGTTGCTTAGCTTGATCAGTAAAACTATACGACACTGGAAGATCCGTTTCAGCTTCTTCCATATCTTTATCTGAACTAATAGACTGCATCTGCAAAGGATCAGTGAGACGATAAAATGTATTATTTGAATAGGATTTTAGTGAATAATTTAAAATATTTGTAGTATGGGTGCTAATAAAATGGTTTCTACATTTGTTGCTGACGAGCGACAATCAGCATACGTGAAGCGGAAAAAAGCCGATTGATAGGTAGCTTTGTAAACTCTTTAGGCTTTATTGCGACATTATTTAGTGATTCCACAGCACACTAGCATTATTTTGATGACATGATGTAATGTCTAGTTATTCGATCCTTTAGGGCTGTCTCACAGCAACTGAGTAGACAATTGGTAACCAATTGTACCTTGTCTGAGCTATAGATGCATGGATATGTTGAGGTTTTATAGGCTGGCCGGTTCATATGATCAATGTAGAAGGGCAAGTAGTCACTATTTTGAACCAACTCAGCTATTAGGATTAGCATCAGCTATAAAGAAACATTGTAATATAAGATAAGTATTTATTGTTCCAAGTTTCTTCAAATTATAATAGATAGGAAGCAGTAGTAAAATGTATGATGAACAGTCTAAATTACTCGAAGGTTTTGGCACGTGGAGGCTTTTTACTTAACAAGGCTAAAACGTTTTTGGAAAGATATATCGTTCGGTGAGAGTGAATGAACTATAATCATAAAAATATTTGGCAAACATAGGCTATAAGGCACTGATGAACCACATGAAATGTAGTAAACGCTTAAAGGCAACCCACTTTAAGCTACAAGCGATGGACTAGTCTTCGTAGTAACAATCCAGACGCGTTTCCCTCCGAGTTGTTTGTTCGGGATATGTTACACGGAGCCAAGTTTGTTGATAATAAAACTAAGAGAACAACCGTTAGCATTACAATAACAGGAGCTTGTAGATACATTTTAGTACTAAATCGATGTGACAGTAGTCAAGCATTTGATCAACTGACTAGCATTTTTAGTTACCTCTCCATTTCCAAAGCCAAACATTCAGCATATCTACGCAACTATTAGTCTTTAGAAGGCACACGTTCCAATGGGTAATCGCAACTCTTCAGAAATTGCAATAGGTTCTAAGAAGATATCCTTGTTTATGAAGTTAAATCTATGTACTAAGTATTGTCCCAATCGCTGAGCGGCTAATTATGTTATTGGCGAGACTATAATTTAAGGACGAATTAATCAGATTTACGATAACAGGTCTTAGATTTTGGCGCGAAATTCACTCACCCATTCGGGTAAATAGAGTTTTGGCATTACAGCTGATGACAGTTCGTGATGAAAACCCTACACCTAACCCCTAACCTAAACCATTAACTGTAATTCATAATCCTTATTCTTTAAACTGCTTTATAACCCTCATTTAGCCCTAGTATGTAAGCGGACACTCTCAAGGTTAGTCTAGCGTTTCTCCAATGTCGTCCATAAATTATAGTCTCACCAAGCAATCTTATGGAAACCTGAGCCGTGATCAGAGATTTTATTCGTTTAAGATAATCATTCTACGTCAACGTTTCTTACACATCTTGCAGAATCACAAAGGACAGCTACTACTTCAAACTTGAATTCAAGTTGGGAATATACTGAGGTCACATGAAACTTTCTGATGTGATGTATTAAGTGGTCTCTCCAAAGTGTAGTACCAGACTACGAAGACTTTAAACATACATTTCTAGAACTTGGCACAAAATAAGACCAGTAGTGTGATTAAAGATTAGACAACCAAATACTACTGTAAGAGTTAAACACCTATTTATACTTCGGCTTGAATCCAACACATTCATGGTCTAATTTCAAAAAAATTTTGAACCCAAATTGTTATGATTGCCAAGTTGCACAATTAAGCTATTCTGTACAGCAAACTCATAAAAACGGCAGTGGCAAATGTAAGACGACCTAACAAACAACCTTCACCGTGAAGTTTGCGCGCGTTAATATTACAGTGATTGACCTTTGTTTCTCGTACGCATAAACAAAGATTCTTCAAGCCAAAGTAAAAAAAGTAATACATGTTTTTCGTGTTCCCGTGCACAGTGAACCCCTTGATTTAGTGACTTTTACGTCAGTAATTTCACTAGTAGTCACCTCGAAATATATGGTTTTCCCAGAATAACAAAATAAGTTTAGAGATTAATAATGTATCAAATTTATCAACACAACGTAATAGCTAGTTTGCTTAGTGTGACCATGTAGTAACAAGGAACATAGGTCCGTCGAATTAACCCTGGATGCCCTATAATTTCATAAACACGCGATTATTATCTAAAGCAAATAATATCAAATTCTATGTCTGTGGATAAAAAAGGTTTCGGTTGGATGAATATCAAAAATTTAGGGGAACTAGGTTGTCTGTCTGATAAGCAGTGTTTGATGAAATACCATGGTGTGAAGACTTTGGAATATTATTATTTTTCTCTTGAATTAATGATCTTAGTTCTCGGTCATCCTAAGTTTTGGTTGTGTGCAGGAGATATGGGTATACAAGTCGCAAAACTGGGCGAATAGATTTGTGTGGAGCTTCAAAAACACTGATAAAATGGGATGACGTTTGGTGACCGCCAATGAATTTTCACAATTTTATAACGGCATACGCTGGTCACGAAGTCACCCTAGCTTTTAATTAATTTTTAGTAACTCAGGTAGCACGTGACTATTGAGACATTTTTAACCAAATCGATTGTATTTTGGGGTCTATCCAAACTGAACTTATTCCACGTTTCATATAAAGAGATTAAGGGAGCTTATTTGCAGTCCCCATACAAATCATCATTTCACTTGAAACTCTTGCTTCTACGAGGAATTCATGGGTGCATTACAAAAACTTTTACAAGCCTAGTTCTGAATAATTTTGTCACTGACTACCGTTTCTATAATTAAATTCTTCACTTCAACGCACTTGTATGGCGCTTGTCGAGATGTTAAAAAGATATCGAGCCACACGAATAAGCATTATCTTCAGGATCAATACAGGTCACTGAATTCACAACATATTCGTTACGAAACTTGCTGATTCAGCATATTGGCAAAGAAAATTCAACCACTTGACAGAACGTACAGTGTGCCATCCTGAATAAATTCACCAAACAAGTAATATCTGTATATAGCAACAAAGAATATTTTGACAAAAGATTCCTCAACTCACTAAGTCTTTAGGTTCCACGTACATCAATCTATAACGATTGTGATAAAATAACCATTTATATACACATATTCAACACTGATCAAGCTTACCAGAGACATAAAATGAAAACAATCAATTTTTTAAAGGAGAGATATCAAATGCTTCCAAAACGAATCGTCATTGAAGTTATTAGTTCATGTAAAAAAGGCATGACAAAGTAGTTCAAACCAGTAACCTTAGCCAACCAACTAATGATGTCTGAATATAAAATCAGATTAAAAAGGCGTTATATCGTTCCTCCTTTAAAAGTAACAGTAAAGATTATGTTCTAACGCAAAATTGTGATTGCAAATTTGTGAATTTTTCACAAGACGTCTTCTATAATAATAACTGGAGTAATATATACACACTAATTATCATCACTTATGTCTGCGTTTTTATACTGAAACAGTTAGAGTTCCATTTGATTTTAGCTTAGCATCACTGGCTACGTTTCATATATATTTTAAGTTAGTGCACCTAAATGTTGTACCATTTTTATGCTAAAGTTCTACGTAAAACTATTCGATATTGAGCGACTGCTTATCCCTAGTTTTCGAACCTAGAAACGTTTATGAAAATTTCTGTCAGTAAGAAGTCGTAACACTGACAGACGAAGAACTCATTAAGCAGCATTACTAGGATGTGACAGTAAGAAACGAAGGATATAGTTACGTTTCGGTAGAACATTAAAGATCTCAGAATACCCCATAGATCAATGCAAAAATAACTGTCCGAGGTCTCTGCTGTCTTATTTTTATCCTCTGTATTTTCTCGTGTTTTTATTAAAGGTGGAGAGAGCGGCACAACTCTCAGTCTTGATCTATCTAACAAAAATGCATTTGCTTTCAACACTATTTTTCAATTTATTAGACTAAGTTTTCATATGCGCCTTTCAAAGATACATCATTCACAAGCAATTTTTTATATTTCACGTCGACTATAACCTGTGAAGAAAACGGTGGAGGAAGTAGTCCAATGTTGCGCGTGCTATATTCATGAATCAGTGGTCAATTCATCGAATATGGTTAAACTCAGTGCACCACTCGAAGTTTATATTAAAACGGGAGGCTTATTTTCGATGAACTTCAGCAAGGTAAAGTTCAAGGATTCCCGTGATCACAGAATTGAAATTAGCTGTAAAGCTAGAAAGTCGGATCACTCAATCACTTTCTAGGTACTAAAGATCGGTGTTTACTCATTATTTTTAGCGGGCCTAATTAACTAAAGAACTCGGATCAATAAATGTAAAGTTCTTTTGTGGTTGGATTTTTGAAGTATTAAAAGTGATAGTATGGAACTCCTGAGAAGTGAAGTCTGTCTAAATCCCTTACAAAGTTTGTAGCCAATTAAATTATGCTAACACAATTCACTTGTAGTGGTAACTAAATCCACAAATTAAATGGTCAAATAAGTCTTCGACAGTGAAGCTGGACACGTTAGTTTGAATAGGCATACCCAAACTGAGGGCACTCCATTACGCATCAGCACCTGATCGCGGCTGGGTTCGCCATGGTGTGCATTTCCTGCAACTACTATCCAGATTAGGCCAAACTATTCCCAACATATTGAAAACCTCCCAAAAACATCTTCAAACTCATTCGTTCCTGACTTCCGATTTTACCGGATCGGTATTCCTCAATCATATGGGCGCTACAACTGAAAATCTGTGACGACTTTACGATCACAGATAGATTATTTTCAGTCTATTTGTGAACCACATCAAGCAAAACTATTTGAGTTGTTTTCAGCATATATCGTTCGAAATCTCTATCAGAGATTCATGCATTTTATTTAAATAGCTGGTAATAACTCTAGGAATTGTAAACAAAAAGGTAATGGATAATATCGTTCCCTCCAGATTTGCAGTTTTCTGACAAGAAATTTTGTGTGACTTTTTCCCAGTATAGGATTCACGAACGGGAGGACTTATCGCGAAGGGATTCGCACTTCGCAATATTTCATTGCATCTAATCTGAGCAAAAGCACACTTTTTATTTCAAATAAAACACCTTATGCTTTGATTCCAACTGTAGCTGTTCCAGGGGTAATGCTGGTCACAAACCGGGTTAGAAGAGAAGGATTTGACCATGAGGTCAGCAACCTCATCACGTAGAGAACGACCTTGACAAGAACTATATTCCCCCAAAAGCTCACACATAGTTACACGAGTCTCACCGGATCAAATTTCAGGGAGCCAAATCGATCGTGCTTGTATTACTGAAATATTCAGAAGGTCAATAGAAGTCGTGAGAACCATGAAGGGAGCTGTCATAACTTCGAATCACAACCTGGCGGTTGTCAAGATGAAAAAGATGTTAAAGAAGGACTGAAAAACAAGAGAAACAGCATCACTGGGCTTCAATACAACCTTCTTTCTACATACTGACAAACTCGATGAATTCAAGACAGCGTTCAACAACAGGTCCCAAGCCGTACAAGATCTACTGGAAGAAGAAGAAGAAACGTCTATAGAGGACGTTCCGAAAGGGATCGGCAGAGATACACCATACTCTATTCAAGGCAGTTTGGAAGGTGCAAAAGTAATCCTCAACATACACAAAAAATAAGGTACCAAAGTACAGAACAGATCACGGACACAATCAAACGTGACGAGTGAGTTCCGGAAGTGGTGAAAAGTTCAATGTACCTAAAGAGCAGAATAGATAAACAGAGAAGATCTGTGTGGATATGAAGGCAGTGATTGGCAATGCAAGATCAGCGTTCCTACGGTTGCAGAACATACAGAACTCAAAAAAACTGAAAATCAACACCAAACTCAGAATTTTTAATACGAATGTTAAAACAGTTATACTGTATTGGGCTGAAACTTGGAGAACTACTACATTCATTATCAAAAATGTACGAGTATTTATAAACAATCGTCCACTCAAGATACTCAATGTTCGTTGACTGGATACCATCAGCAACAGACTACTACAGGAGAGGACAAAACAGATTCCAGCCGATGAAGAAATTAGATGTTGGAAGTGAATAGGATATACATTGCGAAAATCACCAAGATTCATCACGAAGCAACAGCTAACTTGGAATCCTGAAGGGAAAAGGGAAAGAGGAAGACTGAGAAACACACTGCACAGAG